ACTGTACTTTCCACCTCCAGACTAACATCCTCACTCATCCTTCAGAGTGCAAGAACTGTACTTTCCACCTCCAGACTAACATCCTCACTCATCCTTCAGAGTGCAAGCACTGTACTTTCCACCTCCAGACTAACATCCTCACTCATCCTTCAGAGTGCAAGAACTGTACTTTCCACCTCCAGACTAACATCCTCACTCATCCTTCAGAGTGCAAGCACTGCACTTTCCACCTCAAGACTAACATCCTCACTCATCCTTCAGAGAGCAGGTACTGTAGTCCCCTCAGGTCACAATTCAGGGATCAGGGTTCAATCCTCAGGCAAGTGGAAACATAAGGCTTGTTCATTTACACCTGCTGTCCCTGTTCACCTAGCAGTAAGTAGGTACCTGGGTGCTAACTGGCGTGGGGTCACATCCTGGGGTGTTAAAAGCCTCGCAAGGGAGTTAAGACTGAACAGCCTGATAGACATGGCTTTACTGACTTATCCTGGGTTACTAATCCTCTGGGTTAACTATCCTTTGGATAGAAGCCAGCTTATAACATGGCATTTCTCCGTCTTACCCGACCGGGTGATGAATAAGACATGTACATTACCTAGGAATGTTTATTATGATGGCAGTGTCATAATAAACATACGCAGGTGCTGCACACTTGTCTCATTCATCGTCCTGGCCTCTGTGGTCATTGCTTAAGCCAATTACAGTGGACCCCCGCATAACGATTACCTCCGAATGCGACCAATTATGTTAGTGTATTTATGTAAGTGCGTTTGTACGTGTATGTTTGGGGGTCTGAAATGGACTAATCTACTTCACAATATTCCTTATGGGAATAAATTCGGTCAGTACTGGCACCTGAACATACTTATGGAGTGAAAAAATATCGTTAACCGGGGGTCCGCTGTACTTGAATTCTAAGCAACAAAATTTTACCGTGCATAATCCATCAACTCCTTGTTCAAACTGACCAGGTTTTTCTCTGATGATATAGTACACTCCTCTTTACTGCACATCTTGCAGACAAAATCTGCATAAAACACTCTACCTCCTTTATGCAGTACATATTATTATTAACAGGGAGCGCTAAACCCATAGGGATTATAGAGCGCCTGTGTGGGGATGAGGATGGAAGGTATTCGGGGTCAATTCAGGAAGCTGGAGCACAGATCCAATTCCCTAGATCAAGAGCCCCTCACCATAATCGAGGAACCTCCCTTGAGGGGGTATACAGTACATGTATATACATACATGTAAACTACCTTACAGTATCTATATATATACTGTTATCTATCTATTGTTAAGAACAAAATACAGTGGACCCCCGGTTTACGATATTATTTCATTCCAGAAGTATGTTCAGGTGCCAGTACTGAACGAATTTGTTCCCATAAGGAATATTGTGAAGTAGATTAGTCCATTTCAGACCCCCAAACATACATGTACAAATGCACTACATAAATACACTTACATAATTGGTTGCATTGGGAGCTGATCGTAAAGTGGGGGTCCACTGTAAAGCCATTATCACGTGGTGCATTATGGGCAGACTAATCTAAATACTTACACAGTACTTAAGACTAGACAAAGGCTATTAAGTAAGAGTACTTAAATGTAAAAGGAAGAGAAGTAGCTAAGTGAACAATAGTACAATTTTAAGTATGTATATATACTGTATTTCGCGGCTTTTAAGACTTGTTTTAGTCTCAGTGGCTCGGCACTGGACGTAACTGGGAAGCTCCAGTCCACCCCATACCCTACATAAGTTGGGTGTGAGGTGGACTGGCCTTCAGTTTATAGGAGGCAGGGTGGTTTTTGGAGACATTTTATGGAAAACAAAATGTGTCTAAAAAGCCACAAAATACGCTACTTCAAACTGATATAGTGATTTTCAGTTAAGTAGGATTGCTAAAGCAGTTAACACAGGGATTAGAAATGTGTGTTATGAGAAAGCATCAGTTCTTTACTGATGATTACACTCTCTCTCCTTTATTAATAAACACTGCAAAAACAACTCGTCCAACACTGTAAAAGGTCAAATGTTGAACTATCGTTAATGTGTTCGTGTTATGCAATTTACTGCAAAATTTACACACAGTAGAAAGAGCTGTGATCCTATCTCTGCTCATTTCAAAGCCAAGCCCTATTTAGGGTATACAGTAGTACCCTCGTACCCGCAAATTTGGTTTCCGCGGTTTCAGTTATACATGGTTTAGAGTAGCCTGAAAATAACCCTTAATTTTGCTTAATAATGGCCATAAAATGCATAAACAGTAATGGTGGCAGCTCTTCAAAGCCTAAGAGAAGCTGTGAAGCGCTTCCATAAGTGAAAAAGTGCTAATTCTTAACTTACTGTGCATAATTTAGCAATTAAACTTCATCATAGTCATGTATGTAAATGAAGACATACACTCTCACTTAGCGATGTACTCGTTTAACGACCGCTTGGACTTATGATGGGCTCTGACCAGTAAGCAAACCTATGTATATCTGAGCTGATTTCCTCTATTCTGTTTATTACACTATACCGTACACTACTGTATAAACATTTAAAAATATACCAGAAATATTATAAATAGTACAAAGGTGGCATTAAAACAACATCAAAGATGGTTGACACGAACCCACTAATAATATAGCACGTTCCTCGCTTAACGGCTAAATCGTTTACCGACCTACTCTTAGGAATGGAACTCCATCGTTATGTGAGGAGAGACTGTATAGGGTTTGCTAGTATCCATGGTAGGTCTTGGAACGTATCCCCAGTGGATATGGGGGGACTACTATACATATACCGTAGGCCTTCACTTAATCAGTAGGTCCTTGGAAACTGCAACTTAAGCGAAATGACGTACTGTAGAGTACCACTTATATGGCAAGCTAGGTTCCTGGCTACTGCCAGAAAGCGGACATCGCCAGAAAGCAGAACACCATTTTTCCACTCGTAAATGCATATAAGTAACAGATAACAAGTTTACACTAACGTACGGGTGGGCCGCGGTGACCACATTAGAGTCAGATGGGAGGAGTCGTATCGCGAGTTTTGGTCATAACTTGAAATGTCTGTATTGGTGGAACACTGTAAGGCGAAACACCATAAAGCAGGCCCCTACTGTATAACAAACCCAATTTTACCATAGGCTAATTGATACTGCAAGGAGCACCTCCTACCACTACAGCTCAAAAACAAACAATAACAAATATGGTGTGCTTGCCATGCCCTTTCGTACCGCATCATTTATCATTGTGCATTTGTATGATTATCATATGCTTTACAGACAGTGGAACTGGCTGGGAATCAATTTTTTTTCCTCATCGTTATAATGTTACAACACTGAACAAAACCAAATAAAATAACGTTATTCAAGGACCTGCCGTACACAGCCTCTCCTCACTTAATAACAGAGTTCCGTTGCTAAGACCACGTCGGTAAACGAATCATCGCTAAGCGAGGAGCATACTATAATGGTAGTGGGTTTGCTCCTTGCTTAGCGATGAATTCGTTTACCGACGTGGTCTTAGCAACGAAACTCTGTCATTAAGTGAGAAGAGGCTGTGTACAGCAGGTCCTTCAATAACGTTATTTCATTTGGTGATTTTGTTCAGTGTTGTTACGTTATAACGATGAGGAAAAAAAATTTATTCTCAACCATCTCTGATATTGTTTTAATGTCACCTTTCCACCATTTATAACATTTTTAGTATATTTTTAAATGTTTATGTAGTAGTTTACCGTATATTGGAATAAACAGAATAAGAGAAATCAGCTCTAATATACATTATTTACGTATGTATACTGGTCAGAGAGTCCATCATAAGTCCGAGTTGTTGGTAAACAAGTACGTCGTTAAGCGAGGAGAGGCTGTATATACATATATATCACCACTCTTTAGGAAGAGACCCCAAAACAGTTGACTAACACCCAGGTATCTAAAGATGCTCTTTACTTTACAACGGTTCGGCTTACGATTTTATGATGGTGCGATAAATTACATTCAGTATTGTACATTTATTGATAAGGATAATCTTGTATTCATTTATTTACTTTTCAGTACTGGTATTTAGCTACATTAATTATTTCTTTATTTACTTATACGGTGACGGTAGTTATTTATTACTTATTTATTTATCATATCATATACATGTATTCATATTCAACTTATATTTTCAACCTATGACGGGTTCCCCAGAAAGTAACCCCATTGTAAGTCAAGGTCCACCTGTATTTATTTCTAAGTGAATGGGTAGCAGGTATGAGATTTGCCTACAAGTCTTGATGCAATCAGAATTAAACCTAACCCCATTGGATGAGAGCTGAAGGCACTACCAGAGCTACAAGCTACCCATGGCAACTTCAATATAAACACAGCAAAATGTCGAAATTAACCGACACCAATTTTACACAACAATAAATATTGCTGTAGATAAATGGTTAGGAGAATCGATAGGACGATGAATTAAGACACTTGGGTATCTACTGATACCCGTGTGTTGCACAAGTGTCTACTGATACCCGTGTTGCACAAGTGTCTACTGATACCCGTGTGTTGCACAAGTGTCTAATCCATCAACAAATATTGCTAGAAGGAAACATATCGTGAGAATGGTAAATAAATAGCATACAAAGAGTACCTACCACTCCATGACTACCAACAAACATTTCTGATTGTTGTAAATGTTTTCATAAACATCAATTACTGCTACAACATGGGGACACGTTGATCCCCGACAGTGAAGGTCCACCTCTCTTCTGGACTTTGGACTATCACGCAGAACCTATGGGAGAATTTTCAGCCTGTCATGTCAAGCGATAATATAAAATATCGAAGTTGAAAGGTTAGTTAACAATGCTCGTGCAACGCTTGGGTGTTTCAATTGTGGAAATGTTTGGCCTGCCAGTGGCTTCCTTAGTTCAGTACAGAGAAGAATGGTGGATGATCAGGAGGAGGTTGAGGTAATCAGTCCCTCAACCTGGAGTTGCTGTAATCAGTCCAGAGTCCATGTGATCAATTCATCAATCTTGAATAAAGTAGTACAGTCCACGTGTGCATATGCTGCACTCTAATCAAGACTGATGGACTGATCACATGGAGTCCAGGATAAGAGATTGATTAAACCATACCATGGTTGGGGTTTGAACCTGCGGTCAGTGTGTCTCAAAACTCCAGACTGCGGGTTCAAACCCCACCCGTGGTATGATTTGTTTGCAATCGTATCATTACGATTTTGTGAGTCAAGAGACTGATTACCTCAAACTCCTCCTGATCTTCCACCGGTCTTCTCTGTATTGGACGGAAGAAGCCACTGGCTGGCGAAACATTTCCACAAAGTACCCAAGTGTTACACGAGTCTTATTCATCAGCTTGTCGGTTTTCTGAACCATTCATATACGTACATGTACACTTGGTCAACAATAAACACCAATCAGCCGTGAGACATCAGTCTTCTTGCTTAGTTTACACCCATCAACAAATGTGTATAAAATCAGTGTGGTTATTGTGATATAATACCAAACAGTTTACAATACTGTAAACTAACTACATGTATACTATACATGTATACTCTTACAGGTAAACCCTATCCTGGGAAGTTGAGACTGATTATCATGTTCTATTTGATTTTAAAAACACTAAAACTGTATATTTATCCAATAATTCCAACATTTCATATCTAACATTATCAAATTTACAATGTCATTATTAACTTGGTATTGTAGTGACCAATTCGCTTGTAGTATATTACGTATATCAATCATTATATAAAATTTTTATTTCTTGATGCAGTACAAGATAATGTAATTAACATACAAGGAAATATTGGTAGGCAATGTTGGGCAAGCTAATGTTTAAATGTTACTTAAGAATTAGACTATTAAGAAGGACTTTTATATAGTTACTTATGATCATATGTACAATAAGGAAGCTAATGAACGAATGGTACAATTTCAAAAGTCTTATTTTACACTATTTCAATGATCTTCAGTTTTGTGGAGTGACAATATTAGAACACTGCTGTAGGTCCACTTAAAGTTGCATTATTTTAATTTAGTTACCTCTCAATAACCTATGTCTAGTTTTGAGTAGTGTATGTACCTCTTAGTATTAGTCTGCTTGAAATACACTGCATGCTAGTGGCTTTCTATTGTGCTTAACAATATTAATTACAGTAGGACCCCCGTATCCGCGAGTCTGCAGTTCTTCAAAGCCTAAGAGAAGTCGTGAAGTGCTTCCCATCAGTGAAACAGCGATAATTCTCCACTTATTGTGCGTAATTTATCAAACTTTGTAATAGGAAAGTACGTAAATGAAAAAGATCCGTCTATAGCCTCTCCTCACTTAATGACGGGGTTCCGTTAAGACCACATCGGTAAATGAATTCGTTGCTAAGTGAGGAACATACTATAATGGTAGTGAGTTTGTGTCAACCATCTTGATATTGTTTTAATGTCACCTTTGCACCATTTATGACATTCTTGGTATATTTTTAAATGTTTATACAGTAGTGTACTGTATATTGTTATAAACAGAATAGAGGAAATCAGCTCTAATATACATTATTTAGGCATAAATACTGGTCAGAGAACCCGTTGTAAGTCGAGGCGTTGGTAAACGAGTACATTGCTAAGTGAGGAGAGGCTGTATAAAGTTCGCCACTATCCACAGTTTCAGCATTAGCGGCACGTCATTGTAATGCATCCCCTGTAGATACAGGGGTCCTACTGTACATATAAACTACATTTCTTATACTGCAAAAAGAAATACAGTTCGTTTGTTTGGTGCGTTTGTAATGGCAGGTCATTCTCGCATCTACTCACGCACCTGTCCAATCTGTTTTTAAAGCTACCTAGAGCACTTGATGCAACAACACTACCTGGCTCAAGTGGTAGTGCCTTCAGCTTGCAAAAAAAGTATTTCAACGCTGCGTAATTTGTGAAAGCGCACATCTACACACGGAAATGACACACTGGGATGAAGGGATAGAGAATACATAAAATGCAGTGTAATCAGTGTAATGCACCGATACATATTAGTCAATGCTCAAATTGATGGATTAGCGTTGGATAACTCGACTAACCAAATGAGCCCACTGGCTGGATAACTTGCCCTCGGTGACTTGGATAATCACTAACATCACCGGACACCAACAATATAGATTTAATAATAATAACAATGACAATAATAATAATGACAATATAAATAACAATAACAACAATAATAGTAATAATAATTAATAATACCAATACAAATAAAAATAATAATAATAGTCGCCCTGCCTTTACGGGAGATGACACATTAAAAATAGTCATGATAATGTCACGAGCTATATTAATATCAAATTATGCACTAAACCTGTATGGGTTAGAAATTATTTGATTAGTCACGTGGATGCTGCTGGAATATCATATTCACAGGGAAGCTCTAAACCTGTAGGGGAATGAGATGTAAAATATTTTATTGGGATAATTAACCCTGAGGGTTGGTAACCCAGTTAAGCCACTCTGTCTGGCTTATTTCCATTGGGGTCTTTGGACCTCCTTCCCCAGGATGCAACCCCCACCAGTCACCTAGTACCTAGGTAACTACTTAATGCTAGGTGAACACCCAGGTACCTACTTAATGCTAGGTGAACACCCAGGTACCTGCTTAATGCTAGGTGAACACCCAGGTACCTACTTAATGCTAGGTGAACACCCAGGTACCTGCTTAATGCTAGGTGAACACCCAGGTATCTACTTAATGCTAGGTGAACACTGAATTACCTACTTAATGCTAGGTGAACACCCAGGTACCTACTTAATGCTAGGTGAACACTGAATTACCTACTTAATGCTAGGTGAACACTGAATTACCTACTTAATGCTAGGTGAACACTGAATTACCTACTTAATGCTAGGTGAATACCCAGGTACCTACTTAATGCTAGGTGAACACCAAATTACCTACTTAATGCTAGGTGAACACCCAGGTACCTACTTAATGCTAGGTGAACACCCAGGTACCTACTTAATGCTAATTTCACTTATAAAAAGCACACTAAACCCACAGGGGTAATGAGGGATTTAATTTTCCATGTTGCTCCTATTTACCTCATTGTCCCTGATTACTTAACAGTAAATAGAGAGACCTATTTTTCTGACACTGAAAACCCGTATGGGCAACGACTTAATTTCACCACCGTGTGGCTCCTAAGCCAGGATAACCTAATTAAGGTATATAATGGGACCTATTTCCACCTTGATACCTATTTTCCCATTGAAAAAATGGGGTAAACAGCACCCCAGTGTGGCTCCTAAGCCAGGATAGCCTAAGTAAAGGTGCACAATGGAACCTATTTCCACCCTGACACCTACTTCTACTGATACATCTTATCTCCCCGATACACCCCGTCAACTAACTTCACGAATACCACCTGGTGGTTCACACTTACACTCACTCATTTGACCATAAACAGAAATATTAATCTCAGTCTTAAAATAATGAATCCTGTGATACTCCAATACTGAAACTATGTACTGTGCCAAAACAAAAGCATTCACATTGCTAAACTCACAAACTAGTATTTAGTCACTTAGCCATAATACCAACTTACCTCATAATTTGTAATATTTTACGATTAAGAATAAAACAAAGTCTGCCCGAAATGCCTAGCCATGCTAGGCGTTCTAGTGGTACACTGTGTAATACCTAGCCATGCTAGGTGTTCTAGTGGTACACTGTGTAATACCTAGCCATGCTAGGTGTTCTAGTGGTACACTCTGTAATACCTAGCCATGCTAGGTGTTCTAGTGGTACACTCTGTAATACCTAGCCATGCTAGGTGTTCTAGTGGTACACTCTGTAATACCTAGCCATGCTAAGCGTTCTAGTGGTACACTGTGTAATACCTAGCCATGCTAGGTGTTCTAGTGGTACACTCTGTAATACCTAGCCATGCTAAGTGTTCTAGTGGTACACTGTGTAATACCTAGCCATGCTAGGTGTTCTAGTGGTACACTCTGTAATACCTAGCCATGCTAGGTGTTCTAGTGGTACACTGTGTAATACCTAGCCATGCTAGGTGTTCTAGTGGTACACTTGTAATACCTAGCCATGCTAGGTGTTCTAGTGGTACACTGTGTAATACCTAGCCATGCTAGGTGTTCTAGTGGTACACTGTGTAATACCTAGCCATGCTAGGTGTTCTAGTGGTACACTGTGTAATACCTAGCCATGCTAGGTGTTCTAGTGGTACACTCTGTAATACCTAGCCATGCTAAGTGTTCTAGTGGTACACTCTGTAATACCTAGCCATGCTAGGTGTTCTAGTGGTACACTCTGTAATACCTAGCCATGCTAGGTGTTCTAGTGGTACACTCTGTAATACCTAGCCATGCTAGGTGTTCTAGTGGTACACTCTGTAATAGGTGTTCTAGTGGTACACTGTGTAATACCTAGCCATGCTAGGTGTTCTAGTGGTACACTCTGTAATGCCTAGCCATGCTAGGTGTTCTAGTGGTACACTCTGTAATACCTAGCCATGCTAAGCGTTCTAGTGGTACACTGTGTAATACCTAGCCATGCTAGGTGTTCTAGTGGTACACTCTGTAATGCCTAGCCATGCTAGGTGTTCTAGTGGTACACTCTGTAATACCTAGCCATGCTAGGTGTTCTAGTGGTACACTCTGTAATACCTAGCCATGCTAGGTGTTCTAGTGGTAACACTCTGTAATACCTAGCCATGCTAAGCGTTTCTAGTGGTACACTCTGTAATACCTAGCCATGCTAAGCGTTCTAGTGGTACACTCTGTAATACCTAGCCATGCTAGGTGTTCTAGTGGTACACTGTGTAATACCTAGCCATGCTAGGTGTTCTAGTGGTACACTGTGTAATACCTAGCCATGCTAGGTGTTCTAGTGGTACACTCTGTAATACCTAGCCATGCTAGGTGTTCTGTGGGTACACTGTGTAATACCTAGCCATGCTAGGTGTTCTAGTGGTACACTCTGTAATACCTAGCCATGCTAAGTGTTCTAGTGGTACACTGTGTAATACCTAGCCATGCTAGGTGTTCTAGTGGTACACTGTGTAATACCTAGCCATGCTAGGTGTTCTAGTGGTACACTGTGTAATACCTAGCCATGCTAGGTGTTCTAGTGGTACACTCTGTAATACCTAGCCATGCTAGGTGTTCTAGTGGTACACTGTGTAATACCTAGCCATGCTAGGGTTCTAGTGGTACACTCTGTAATACCTAGCCATGCTAAGTGTTCTAGTGGTACACTGTGTAATACCTAGCCATCTAGGTGTTCTAGTGGTACACTGTGTAATACCTAGCCATGCTAGGTGTTCTAGTGGTACACTCTGTAATACCTAGCCATGCTAGGTGTTCTAGTGGTACACTCTGTAATACCTAGCCATGCTAGGTGTTACTAGTGGTACACTCTGTAATACCTAGCCATGCTAAGTGTTCTAGTGGTACACTGTGTAATACCTAGCCATGCTAGGTGTTCTAGTGGTACACTCTGTAATACCTAGCCATGCTAGGTGTTCTAGTGGTACACTGTGTAATACCTAGCCATGCTAGGTGTTTTATTCTAGTGTACACTGTGTAATAACCTAGCCATGCTAGGTGTTCTAGTGGTACACTCTGTAATACCTAGCCATGCAAAAGTGTTTCTAGTGGTACACTGTGTAATACCTAGCCATGCTAGGTGTTCTAGTGGTACACTCTGTAATACCTAGCCATGCTAGGTGTTCTAGTGGTACACTGTGTAATACCTAGCCATGGCTAGGTGTTCTAGTGGTACACTGTGTAATACCTAGCCATGCTAGGTGTTCTAGTGGTACACTCTGTAATACCTAGCCATGCTAGGTGTTCTAGTGGTACACTGTGTAATACCTAGCCATGCTAGGTGTTCTAGTGGTAACTCTGTAATACCTAGCCATGCTAAGTGTTCTAGTGGTTACACTGTGTAATACCTAGCCATGCTAGGTTGTTCTAGTGGTACACTGTGTAATACCTAGCCATGCTAGGTGTTCTAGTGGTACACTGTGTAATACCTAGCCATGCTAGGTGTTCTAGTGGTACACTCTGTAATACCTAGCCATGCTAGGTGTTCTAGTGGTACACTGTGTAATACCTAGCCATGCTAGGTGTTCTAGTGGTACACTCTGTAATACCTAGCCATGCTAAGTGTTCTAGTGGTACACTGTGTAATACCTAGCCATGCTAGGTGTTCTAGTGGTACACTCTGTAATACCTAGCCATGCTAGGTGTTCTAGTGGTACACTCTGTAATACCTAGCCATGCTAGGTGTTCTAGTGGTACACTCTGTAATACCTAGCCATGCTAAGTGTTCTAGTGGTACACTGTGTAATACCTAGCCATGCTAGGTGTTCTAGTGGTACACTCTGTAATACCTAGCCATGCTAGGTGTTCTAGTGGTACACTGTGTAATACCTAGCCATGCTAGGTGTTCTAGTGGTACACTGTGTAATACCTAGCCATGCTAGGTGTTCTAGTGGTACACTCTGTAATACCTAGCCATGCTAAGTGTTCTAGTGGTACACTGTGTAATACCTAGCCATGCTAGGTGTTCTAGTGGTACACTCTGTAATACCTAGCCATGCTAGGTGTTCTAGTGGTACACTCTGTAATACCTAGCCATGCTAGGTGTTCTAGTGGTACACTGTAATAACCAAATTCTGTAAACTCAGCATTGTAATCCTTATAGAGAATAAACTTTGAATTTGAATACCTATTTTCACAATGAAATGCTGTAAACCCGTATGGGCACCTCATTTCGCCCACTTGTGGCTGCTAACCTAGGATAACCTAATTAAGGTACATACTAGTACCTACTTCCACTGGTACCTATTGATAAAATGCGGTAAACCCGCATGGGCGATGATTCATTTCACCCCGCGTGGCTCCTAAGCCAGGTAAACCTGGCATAGGTACACAATGGAACCCATTTCCACCACGATACCTAATTTCCCACTGAAAAAAACCGTGGTAAACCCGCGTGGGCGATGACTCATTTCACCCCTTGTGGTCCCTAAGCCAGAAAAACCTAACTAGGTACACAATGGGACCCATTCCCACCGCGATACCTAATTTCCCCGTGGATAAAAAAAACGCTGCAAACCCGTATGGGCGACGGTAGACTTCCCCTCCCCCCCCAGGGGCATTACCTTAAGCGCATATTTCCTCTGGTCTCTCTTACTGAAGCACTCGACAACCTTGCCGTTGATACCTAGGCCTAAAACATTGCTGGAAATAACGTAGTCCTCCAGTATAGGCTTATTCTTGGTGTTGACGCAGACTGTTGGGCGGCTCCTGCCTCCTTCCTCACCCTCCTCCACCATCATGGGCTCCTCCATCATACCTGCGCACTTCCTCCCTCTTTCTGGCCACGTTACATGTCACCAGGTGAGTTAGAAATGGGGGAAAATGGAGGAAATATGACGGTGGTCTTGCTGCCTCTCAGCCACCATAGTTTACACTGCCGGATGATCGTCTTCCTCCCTCACGTTTTTCAGGATTATCTACATCGTATTTCTAAACTCGCTCACCTGCCGTTATTTACACGAATTTGTTCCCTGTATACCCGTATGTAATGGTATTTTCCCCCGTCAAAATCATATTTCCCACTAAATGTAAATTTCCGCTATTTTATACAACTCGATTCTCCTATTTACCTATAAATCCCCCGCTCATATAAATCCCCAACTCAAGTATTAAATACATTCTACAGAGCCATTAAAGACTCCAATAACCATCAAAATCAACAAAAAAAATTAAACTATGTCAAGAAAATCTACTTAATGATACTCAAAATATAATTTAATTTTGGTCATGATTTTCAAAGTGGAGGTAATAATGGACGCTAAAAGTTACATTCATTGTTGTGCCCAGAATAATAATTAATATCACATTAATTAACTTAATAGGCTTGTTTTTAGGCCTCATGGACAATTACGAATTTATATAATGATTTTATATAGAAAATTATATATAATATATGATAAAATAACCCAATACAGGGAGGAAATGAGACTTTTTTCTCACTCACATCAAAACGTTTTCCTCAATATTTGCTAATAAATACCGGATAATAAGACCCTTTTGTTTGATTTATTATCCGGAAGGGTTAATAAACGTAAGGTTTATTAATCCGGAGAGTTAATAAGCCAGGGTAACCCAGTAAAGCCAGTTATTACTGGCTTATTTCTACAGTGGGTCCTCTGAACCTCCCCCAGGATGCTACCCACTCTGGTCACCTAGCACAAGGTACCTACTTACTGTTAGGTGGACAGTGGTAGCAGGTGTAAGGTGACTAACACCCAGGTACCTACTTATTGCTAGGTGAACAGGGACAGCAGGTGTAAGGTGGCTAACACCCAGGTACCTACTTATAGCCAAGTGCATAGTGGTAGGTAGGTAGGTAGGTACCTGGGTGTTAGTGGACTGGTGTGGGTGGCATCCTGGGGAAGAAAATTGAAAAACCACAATAGGAATAAGACACTTGGTCTGACTTTTTGGGTTATCTGCTGGGTAATTTACACATGTTAATTATCCCACGAATTATCAAAGTTTGAAGACGATCAGAAGAATCATTCTCCAGCAATTGAGTTAATTCCAGTGATTCCATTTTTTTTCATCACTGCCAGTAAAAATTTTAATTTGCATCTACTGGAGTCTACCTGGAGTATACAAGGAGTCTACCTGGAGTATACAAGGAGTCTACCTGGAGTATACAAGGAGTCTACCTGGAGTATACAAGGAGTCTACCTGGAGTATACAAGGAGTCTACCTGGAGTATACAAGGAGTCTACCTGGAGTATACAAGGAGTCTTCCTGGAGTATACAAGGAGTCTACCTGGAGTATACAAGGAGTCTACCTGGAGTATACAAGGAGTCTACCTGGAGTATACAAGGAGTCTACCTGGAGTATACATGGAGTCTACCTGGAATCTACCTGGAGTGTGTACTGGGGGTCAACGCCCCCGCAATCCGGTCCATGACTAGGCATCGTGGTGGGTCAGGACCTGATCGGCCAGGCTGTTACTGCTGGCTGCACGTGGTTTCTGCTCCTTCCTGAAGACAACCAGGGGTCTATAGGTAATCCCCCTTATGTATACTGTGAGGCAGTTGAACAGTCTTGGGCCCCTGACATTTTTTGTGTAGTCTCTTAGCGTACTCATGGTGCCCCTGCTTTTCATTGGGGGAATATTGCGCCACCTGTCCAGTCTTTGAGGTGTCCCGTAGCTCGATCGCTAGGGCACTCAGCTCACACCCTGAGGGCCGGAGTTCGAGTCTCCAGTACGGCTGGAAAACATTAGGGACGTGTTTCCATAAGACACCTGCTGTTTCTCTGTCATAAAAAATCATTTAGAATGTCGACCCTTAATCTGATTAACGATTCACTCAACACTGAGTCATATTGGGATTTCAGTATCTCACTCATTTCTTTACTGTTATTTGTGTAAGTCCCGTCTCGTTTAAGCAAGGTCCTAATACTGGTTTTTGCCCTAGATTTGGCATAACTAAGTTCCACCTGTGTTTCTTGGCTCTTGATTCCCTGAACTTGAGTTCGATATTTGCTATTCCTCTGACCAGTGTCTCCCTTCGTATTTCAGATATACTGGCCCCTCTCAGCAGCTCTGTGATTCTTCATCTTCGCTTGTATAGGAAGCGTCTCTCTCTTTCTAGTTTACATCTTCTCTTCCTTTTACTTAAAGTAATGTGCCTTGACTCAAGAAATCGTAATGACACGATTGCAAACAAACCATACCCCCGGCCGGGATTGAACCCGCGGTCATAGAGTCTCAAAACTCCAGCCCGTCGCGTTAGCCACTAGACCAGCTAGCCACAATAAGATTCATCCAACTAGGTATATTTCTACGCCATAGGAAGGTTAGCACAGGCACCTCTGTGACCACAAATGCAAGTTTTTACAGACGAATCTCCAGCTAGCGTGGCCGTGACGAACTCTAGCTCAAGTCCCTTCACCGCCTTGAGCATGCCTCAAGTGCCACAGAGATGATTTTTAGCAAAGGTTCGGATCCATGTTGTTTAGGATATCTTCCCAGCTTGTTTCATTTAGGACATGATTGGCTTGATCCCATTGTATGTTTTTGTTATTGAAGTTCAATTTGGTGAAGGCAACCTCATAGGTAATCACCATATACTGGTCAGGAGCCCAGTGCATACATCTCTGTACTTCTGTTATGCTGTGATCTGAGTGTATTGTCTTAGATATTGTTATATTTCGTACCAGGTCATTATTATTAGTGAAGATGAGGTCAAGTGTATTTTTCAGTTTTTCTCTGGTTTAAGGTGAATTTGATGCAGAGATTTTATAGTTCGTGAGTGTGTGTACTCACCTAATTGTGGTTGCAAGGGTCGAGACTCAGCTCCTGCCCCCGCCTCTTCACTGATCGCTACTAGGTCCTCTCTCTCTCTGCTTCCTGAGCTTCGTCATACCTCGTCTTAAAGCTATGTATGGTTCCTGCCTCCACTACATCACTTCCTGACGACTCTGTGACTGAAGAAATACTTCCTAACATTCCTGTGACTCATCTGGGTCTTCAACTTCCAATTATAACCCCTTGTTTCTGTGTCCCATCTCTGGAACATTCTGTCTCTGTCCACCTTATCTATTCCACGCAGTATTTTGTATGTAGTTATCATGTCTCCACTGACCCTCCTGTCCTCCAGTGTCGTCAGTTCGATTTCCCTCAACCTTTCTTCGTAGAACATTACCCTGAGCTCCGGAACTAGCCTTGTTGTAAACCTTTGCACTTTCTCTAATTTCTTGCCGTGCTTCACCAGGTGTGGGTTTCAAACTGGTGCTGCATACTCCAGTATGGGCCTGATGTACACCTTGTACAGTGTCTTGAACGATTCCTTACTAAGGTATCGGAACACTATTCTCAGGTTTGCCAGGCGCCCATATGTTGCAGCAGTTATCTGGTTGATGTGTGCCTCCGGAGACATGTTTGGTGTTATTGTGGCCTGGTGGCTAAACTCCCGCTTCACACACGGAGAGCCTGGGTTCGATTCCCGGCGGGTGGAAACATTTCGACACGTTTCCTTACACCTGTTGTCCTGTTCACCTAGCAGCAAATAGGTACCCGGGTGTTAGTCGACTGGTGTGGGTCGCATCCTGGGGGACAAGATTAAGGACCACAATGGAAATAAGTTAGACAGTCCTCGATGACGCACTGACTTTCTTGGGTTATCCTGGGTGGCTAACCCTCCGGGGTTAAAAATCCGAACGAAAAAATCTCTCTTATGGTCACCCCAAGATCTTTCTCCCTGAGTGAGGTCTTTAGTCTTTGTCCACCTAGCCTATACTTTGTCTGCTGTCTTCTTTGCCCTTCCCCAATCTTCATGACTTTGCATTTGGCGGGGTTGAATTCGAGAAGCCAGTTGCTGGACCACATGTCCAGCCTGTCCAGGTCTCTTTGTGGTCCTACCTGATCTTCATCTGATTTAATTCTTCTCATTAACCTCACATCATCTGCGAACAGGGACACTTCAGAGTCTATCCCTTCCATCATGTCATTCACATATACCAGGAACAGTACTGGTCCTAGGACTGACCCCTGTGGGACCCGGCTCGTCACAGGTGCCCACTGTGATACCTCGTCACGTACCATGAATCGTTGTTGTCTCCCTGTCAGGTATTCTCTGATCTATTCCAGTGCCCTTCCTGTTACGTTTATACACCATATGGTATATAAATATACCCAGTTGGATGAATCTTATTGAAGCTAGCTGGCCCAGTGGCTAACGCGATGGTCAGGAGTTTCGAGACTCTCTGGAGTTTACCTGGAGAGAGTTTCGGGGGTCAACGCCCCCGCGGCCCGGTCTGTGACCAGGCCTCCTGGTGGATCAGCGCCTGATCAACCAGGCTGTTGCTGCTGGCTGCACGCAAACCAACGTACGAGCCACAGCCCGGCTGATCAGGAACTGACTTTAGGTGCTTGTCCAGTGCCAGCTTGAAGACTGCCAGGGGTCTGTTGGTAATCCCCCTTATGTGTGCTGGGAGGCAGTTGAACAGTCTCGGGCCCCTGACACTTATTGTATGGTCTCTTAACGTGCTAGTGACACCCCTGCTTTTCATTGGGGGGATGGTGCATCGTCTGCCAAGTCTTTTGCTTTCGTAGTGAGTGATTTTCGTGTGCAAGTTCGGTACTAGTCCCTCTAGGATTTTCCAGGTGTATATAATCATGTATCTCTCCCTCCTGCGTTCCAGGGAATACAGGTTTAGAAACCTCAAGCGCTCCCAATAATTGAGGTGTTTTATCTCCGTTATGCGTGCCGTGAAAGTTCTCTGTATATTTTCTAGGTCGGCAATTTCACCTGCCTTGAAAGGTGCTGTTAGAGTGCAGCAATATTCCAGCCTAGATAGAACAAGTGACCTGAAGAGTGTCATCATGGGCTTGGCCTCCCTAGTTTTGAAGGTTCTCATTATCCATCCTGTCATTTTTCTAGCAGATGCGATTGATACAA